TAATGTTTTATGCTATTTTTGACTATAATCACCAGTGCGCTAACGAAATACTTTGTATCTAGGTAAGACATGCTTTTTCTTTAAGAAAATTGTCAGTAGATTCAGTATTTAAAGAATACATTTATTAAAAATCGATTTAGCACTGAAGCATCAACTGATTTCAAAATGCATTTATGCTAAAAATAACACTGAAAATAGAGCATTATTATTTTTTTCGGGAGATGACAATTTGTTTCAGCAAGATATATGAGATGGCAGCGCATAAAGTTTTCATTCTGTATTGGTATCCACGTTCTGAAACTTAATGAATTATAAATGGCAAAGGTATTGTTGTTCATGAGTGAACCAGTCAATTTCGATGGCCCGCTTATCTTTTCGGATCGCGGGGGCAGACGCGTCAAATAATACCTCCAACGTTCCCGATCCTGCGTCAGTGTTCGAACTTCGGCAGAAGATAATCCGGGTGCGACTGTAATAGATTTATTCGTTATCTTGTCATAAGTCATACATACCTTGCTTACCCTTCGGGTTTTCGGGTGTTCAGAAGAAGTGTATTAATGACTGTGTAATGGGTGCGAAGCAGGTGAATATTTAAACGACATTAAACTTTACAGAATGCACTGAGACATTAAAAAAATAATTAGCCGGTGTAAGAAGTCTAGTCATTGAGCAGAATCAGGGCAGAAGGTTGACATGACTTTAGTCTTGTGTTCTGTCTAACAACGCCTGAGACAGGGAGAGCCATGTTGTTGTTTGTGATCGTTCTCTGGAGTACCGTAAGTTTAACAGCTACGCTTGCCATAGGTAATGATATACGTCCTACGAGACTCGGTAGTCGATTAACAAGCAGTAAGATGGTCCTCGTATACGCAAGCTGCAAGAGCTACTTTTATCCCATGATAATAAATGCCAAATTGGGCTCCCGCTTTGAGTTTGCAATTACGCTTAAAGATTCATTCTCCGGTGATGACTTTTATGTCATATGTTGAAACCTGTTCGGAAGGGTTATCTGTTTGTCAGATGTAAGCATTACATTCGATTGTACTTCAGCGCTTAGAATGAAACTAAAGTCTAAAGAACTGATGAACTAAAGAAAAAACTAATTTGGTGCTCGAATTATCAGTGGATTGTCATATGATGTTTTTCTTCAGAAGTCATTAAACCAGCGTAGATAAACGTCATAAATTTAGGTAGAGAAGGAAAGTAATGGTATTTAAGGCTCTTTTACGATGTATATTATATACGATAAACCACCTGTTTATTCTTCAGATATAGGTGCTTGCGCAAAGTTTGCGCAGGTAAAGGAGCAGGTGAGTGATTACGATGCGGAAACCGGGAGAAACCCGTTTTTCAGTAATCGATTGATATTGACCGCTGGGATCTGCGTTTGGGTAAAACTTGGAAAATATTATGGCCAAAATGTCGAGTACCCTGGAGACTATTAAGATTTCAAGGCTTAAGTCATTTAAACCACTTAAAGGCTGTTGAACTTAACATCTGTGTGGATGTCATGTAACGCAAAGCAACCCCTAAGGCTTGGTATCAGGTATCCAACGGTGATTCATTCGATAGTATGCAAGATGGCATCATTTTTATTGCTAGGGCGCGTGAAGGTACACCTTATCTTCAGTTGCATACTGGATAAAATGGTGTTGGAATCAGTGATACTAGATAAAGTTTTGAAAGATGGGCGATAGTTATCTTTGTCGGTGTTTTCGTTTTGTCATATATTTGGTCGACTTTTCACAAAACTTATTTATTAAGCGGTCGCATGACTGGTTGCGTTGTTGAATCGTCCATGACGCTTGTTTTGCAGGGTCGCATGCCATGATTGGCATTTTGAAGAGCCTCTTCAAGAACACAAATGACGTCATACCACCACCGGAAGACCCATCGGCATCCGTTCACATCAGCCGGCCGTACAACACAAGACACGAATTTCATGTCGGCTTCAACGAGACCACCGGCGAGTTTAATGGTGTGCCGGAGCCATGGTTGCAGCTGCTGCGAACCCAAATCAGGTACGGATATTCATGACAGGTCGCGGGTGTAACATTTGTGCATTTTTTGGGTTTTGGAATTTCAAGTATGTGTAAAATTGAAGGTTGTTGTTGTTTTGTCATCGTCGTCTGACGCTAACACAGATTAGGCAATAGATTAACCCAGACTTAAGAGGTCTGACTGTTAGACAATTCAGATTTTTTGGTGAACGCAGTTTAACGATCCTGTGGATTCTAAAAACTTCAAGGTCTTTAAGCTGGATAGTAGATTCATAGATTTGATTCTGCTTCAAGTCGAAGAACTTCTTGGCGACTACAGTTTTTAGTCAGTGCAGCGGTCAACTCAGAAATTATTTTTTTTCTCACTAGTTCAGACTGAGTCTCCTTCTGTCCATTTGTGCTCTTTATCCATTGAACATAAGCGAACGTTAAATTTTTCATGACAGAAACAGGAAATGTCCGGCAGTCAAACGGAAGACACTTGGATATAATTCAGTATGGACCAAAAACAATTTTTTATCTCTCTTGTGGACTGGAGTGACGGAGATGTGCTATAGACTGCGAAATTCAATTTTTTATGGATTGTAGCAACTGAAGAACAATATATCCACCAGACAAGGTGCGACACGACCCTGATGACTATGAAACCGACCTGTATTGTACGCTACACAAATTCATTTTCCATAGTTGTCGGTAAAGGAAGGGGCTGATTCAGATTCCTTTTGCAGATCATAACTTTATATGCTGATTTCACGTCTCTCCAGTAGTAGTGCAGGAATCTGGTTAGTGAACTGATACAAAGTTAATGCCTGAAAATC